GCTTTTGCATGAGTATGTCCTCCATACTTTGCTAGTGACCATTCTCTGTAGCTGTGGTTGAAGTATCTATGATCGATTTTATGATACAGAGACATCTCCGCAGAACCCTCTCTTGCATACCCACACCAGAGCACACTAGTTTCCTTTACAGTAAACCCCAACACAAATTTGCTCATTTCTACTCTCTTGCACATTTCCTTTATAATCTGTCGTTTGGATGCACAAGGTCTTTGTCAAGCCTTTTGCTCCTGATGGGTCAGTATTTGTAATTATAACCAGTCTTAACTCTTCTGGTTAGTTGCTCTTCAAGCTCTACTTTGCTCTTTCTAATTCTGCTTTAACAATTAATTGGCCAACTGTGTAATGCTCTCTAGTTTATTTGAATACACTTCAGGTTTTGAAGTTTGATCACTCATTTCTAGTAACCTTCATGTTGCTACTTAGCCATGTTGACTTCCTGTAATGCTCCTGCAAGCCTCTCCTCATGGGTGACAGGCACTGGTACTGTCTGATAAGTATAGCTCCAAAGACTGAAAGAATTTAACTTTTTACATGCATTTTATCTTCTTTTACAAAAATGAGCAAGCTTGTTACTTATGCCCTCTTTTAAGTTGATAAAGCTGTGGTGCCTGCTTTTGGCTTTTTCTGATAGTGTAGGAACAGCTCTGCATAAGAAAGCTAGAAAACCCGCACAGTACAATCTAGTTAGACTGTGTGCTGCTCCTAGACCTTTTCCCAAGGTAATCTGAAGGTCTGAAGGAAATGAGTTCCTAAAGAATCCCAGTATGTTCCGAGTCCCCCTCTGCACCACCCCCTTTCTTCTACTAGTTATAAAGAGATTGCACAGGAATAAGGATCTCAGGGTTGATGTACATATTCTTATATGAATATTAGTGTGTGATCAGAGCCCTTCACCCTTTCAAGAATGTTGTCCTTTCACAAGGAGTCAGACTTGCAACTCATACCTTAATGTTCCTTAAAAAAAAACAGGTCTCATTTCTTCAATATTTAATCATTTTTTTTATTGATTCTTAGAGTTCAGAGTTACCCTTGAAATTGCACACCAGATACCCTCCTTACATTTTGTGAGTGAATAAGGAAACAGAGAATTTCAAAACAGAGCTAACAGTTTGCACTGGATAGCAATAAACATGCGTTTTGAACTACTTCAAAACACAACAAAGGAATAAGCAGCTCTAGAAAAGAAAGAAAGAGAATCAGGATATATTGACCCAATACAAGCAATCAAATACTATAGTTACTCCCATAAGGACCTGCACTGTTCCCTCAATAGTCACGCTCGATAACTATTCACAACTCATGTGCATTTACTTCACCACTATTTCATTTATCAGAATGGTGGCAACTGAGGAGAATAATCATTATGAAATAATAAAATATTCTTTAAAAAAATCAATCCTGAGAATAAGATTCAGGGCTTCTATTTTCTGATCATATAACTTCAGAAATTATTTCATGACTGTATTTGAAAAATGGGTATAATCCAAGTGAATGGACACAATTCTTTTTTCTCTACAGTCAGAAATCCAGTATCCTTTTAAATAGGGAAGAGTACCAATTTCTTTTTCTTTCCCCTCTCTGCCCCCAAGGAGTGGAATGAGAGGAAAAAAAGGGATGAAAAAGAACAGCAGCCCCCATTCCATTTGCTTATGTTACATGCAAAGGGCCACACTTCCATCAATACTACAACATGCGGCTGCATCTGTATCTATGTTATTTTTTTAGCTTCACAAACTGTTCTTACATATCACATGTTTTCACGTATTTCTGAGTCCTTTTACATGTAAAGTATGCTATAAACAATAACATGATCAAGAAACAATTAAAAAAAAAGACCCCACAAATTCTCCCCCCAAAGCCCCACACTTTCACCCTTCTGTCCTGTTGTTAACACATACAAATTTCACAGATAAGGGATCTCCTCAGGATATCAGCCACCACTACAGCTATTGCATAGGGTCTGCCTGAGATGGAGTTAATTTTCCCTGTAGCCGCTGTCATAGTGCTGTGCTTTGTACTGGTAGCAACAAAGGTGTTACTAACGTACCAGTGTTTTGGCTGCTGCTGAGCAGTACTTGCACAGCATCAAGGCTGTCTCTGCAATATTCCCCCCTGCACCAGTAGGTTGGAGGTGGGCAAGATCTTGGGAGGGGACACAGCCAGGACAGCTGACCCAAACTGGCCAAAGGGATATTCCCTACCATATGACATCTGCTCAACAATAAAAGCTGAGAGAAAGGACGGGCAGGGAGGCATTTCTTATTATGACATTTGTCTTCCAGAGCAACTGCTATGTGTACTGGAGCACTACTTCCCAGGAAGTGGCTGGACATCACCTGCTGATGGGAAGTGGAGAATAAATCTTTTGTTTTCCTTTGCTTCTGTGTGCAGGCTTTGATTTTGCTTTATTAAACTGCCTTTAACTTGACTCACTATTTTTTTCCATCATATTTTCTCCACCCCCTGTCCTGCCGAGGAGGGGAGTGATAGAGCAACTTTGGTGAGCACCTCATGTCCAGCCAAGGCCAACCCACCACAGTCCTTTCTGGCTCCCAATGGGGCATGAGGAATTTGAGATAAGGATAGCAATTGAGAGAGGTAATGGGCAAAACATGGACCGAACAATGTTAGAACGTGGAATAATTGTGGGCAATTTCAGTTGTTGCAATTGTGGTGCAGGGACAAGGGGTGGATTTTGTGTAAATTGTCCACTTTTGTTTGGTGTTGTTCATGACGTTATTTTGATTTTGGTGTGGGGAATTCCTTTTTTGTTAATGTGAGTAAAGTTTGTGAAGACTGTGTAATGAATGTGGGTTTTAATGATAATTCTTAAATACGTGATTCACAGAGGTGAGGGGTGGAAATGCATTGGGTTTCTATGGCAAGGTTTTGGTTGCAGGAAGGGGGGCTGCAGGGATGGATTCGCCCCCCCCGCCCCGGGGGGGCCCCTGCCGCTGGCCAAGGCCGAGCCCATCAGCAACTGTGGTAGCACCTCTGGGATAACAGAGTTAATAACGGGGAAAAAACTTGCACAACTGCAGCCAGAGAAATGAGTGAGAATATATGAGAGGAACAGCCCTGCAGACCCCCAGGTCAGTGAAGAAGGGGGGGCAGGAGGGTGTCCAGGCGCCAGAGCAGAGGGTCCCCAGCCGCCCCTGGCGCCGCAGCAGGGGGATGCCCGAAGGAGGCCGTGACCCCATGGGCAGCCCACGCTGGGGTCGGCTCCTGGCAGGGCCTGTGGCCCCGTGGGGAGAGGAGCCCAGGCTGGAGCAGGGTTGCGGGCAGGACTTGTGACCCTTGGGGGACCCAGGCTGGAGCAGTTTGTGAAGAACTGAAGCCTATGGGAAGGACTTATGTTGGAGAAGTTCATGGAGGACTGTCTCCCGTGGGAGGGACCCCAGGCTGGAGTAGGGGCAGAGTGTGAGGACCCTCCCCTGAGGGGGAAGGAGCGGCAGGGACAGCGTGTGATGAACTGACCACAGCCCCCATTCCCCGTCCCCCTGCGCTGCTCAGGGGGAGGAGGTAGAGAAAATCAGGAGTAAAATTAAGCCCAGGAAGAAGAGAGGGGTCGAAGGAAGGTGTTTTTAAGATTTGATTTTACTTCTTATTATCCTACCCTGATTTGATTAGTAATAAATTAAATCATTTCCCCAAATCGAGTCAGTTTTGGCTATGACTGTAATTGCTGAGTGATCTCTCCCACTCTTTATCTCAACCCATGAGCCTTTTGTCATAATTTCTCTCCCCTGTCCAGTTGAGGAGAAGGAGTGATAGAGCAGCTTTGGTGGGCATCTGGCATCCAGCCAGGGTTAACCCACCACAACTATCAATCAGCCCAAACCATTCAAGCAGTCCTTTTAAAGACGCATCATTAAGTTACATTTTGAAAGTAAAAGTTTTTTGAAATTTGTGTTGAAGAGAAGAATCACTTTTCCTCGATGTGGACCTCCTACACATGAGAGCAAACATTGCCATTGTGGTACATCAGTGAAGGTGCCAATAGTCAGTCCTAAACTTGGATACCAACATAAGATCAGAAACTGGATTTTTGACAATATGAAATTACTGGTTTCTCTTTTTTTTAGCAAATATTCACAGGATAATTGCCTGCTATTTACCACACATACATTTTTCATTTAAAGATACCAAGAGGATATTGGAACTGAAAGGTTAATTTGTAGTTTTATGATAAAAAGCATTAGACCTGCCTTCAAGAGTTTCCCACTCTTTCACTGCTTGCCATATGATCTTGGTTACGTCACCTTTGTGTCTCAACTTTCCAGTTTTAATGTAATATCTAACATTGATAGGACATAAAGCTGACTGGGGAGAAAACAAGCGCACAAGCACAAAGCCCTGCCCTATTTTAGGATTAGCTCACTTGAAGTCTACTGACTGACTTGGGGAACTGATAACAGTAAATTACAAGACACAAAGAAAAACTCATGCTAAAATACCCTGTTTTCCACCACAGAAGTGATAGTGACAGAGAAAGTAGGCAGAATCTCAATCAGTGAATCCTGAATTTTTACACTTAAAAATCCTTGCTGTTGACAGAGCTTGTAAATCTTGAAGAGTTCTGGGAAAAACATTACCTATTCAACCAGTGTCACCATTACAACTGAGGCATTAAGCATTTTCAGAATTTGTTCAATACTTAGCTAATAATACATGGTTAAACATTTGATTAAGCAGACAGTTTTACACATTTCCAAAATATTAATGTTGAAAGAAAAAAAAAAAATCAGTATGTCACTTCAAACACATTGGGGGTTTTGTGCTTATCTGGAAAAAAACAGCATGATATCTCACCTGCATCACTGATTTACAGACTTTTACTGTGCATTTAGTGTCAGGATTAGGTTTTCGACCCAATTTTCACTGTACTGTTTGCAAACTAGACACATCAAGAACACACTCTTCCTTGGGAAGAGTGGTAAACAGGCAATGCTTCTGTACATGAGAAAGGCATGACTTACCTTGTGAAAGTTTCTGAAATATGCTGCCTTCTCATCTGGAAATTTTTCTAGCCTCCTGGGTCCTTTACTGGAAGCCTTCTTGAAAACCAGCCAACAACGCCTGAAAATCTGCAAACAAAATCAATGGGTTATATTAGCTTTTCTTTAAAGGTGGACAGTATCACAAATTCATTCAGTTAAATAATTGACTGACTTAGGAAGAAATTTTAAAATGACAATAGTTTCTTTTAAAAGTCTGGAAAATTCTGAGAACATCAATTATTTCTACACAAGTAATCCCAATTCATCAATTTATACATATTGATCGTCAGTCTTTCGTAGACTTTTTTGCTTCAATTTCTTTCATGCATGCCAAATTTGACAGTTCCTGAGATGCAAAAAAATCCATGAACTTTGAATATGAAAAGAATTATAAGGCTGTCATTAAAGTACTTTCAGAAATCACTCCATGCATTTCTATCTTTCACATTTATACTCTATTTCTATGAGAGTATTGATACCACTGAGAAACATGTATTGCAGCTTTTAACACAACACAGTAATCAGCAGTTAGTATAACCTTGTATGCACAGAAAAGAAAACACAAGGTTGAAATAAGCACCAGTGTGACCATTACTGGATAGTAACATCTAGTCCTCTAGCACGTTAGTAAAGTTTAGGAATGTGTAGTGAAATGCAAAATCCTCCATAAAGCACAAAACTAAACAATGTTATCCTCTCATTTTAATGAGAAACAAACCAGATTTTGTTTAAAATGTGTTTTTAACCAATGAGGGTACTTTATTAGACTATTTACCAAACGTTCTGATGGTATAGCCATAACCAGAAGTTTAAAATCAGGATTCAGTAATCAAAGAAGAATACATTTGAAATTCAAAGAGAAGCTGATTAAGGATAATCCTCTAGACTATATTATGCAAGTAAGGGATTAGATATTAATCTAGTTTTATAATCTATAAAAATAGTTTACTTCATCCTCCTCTTCAGTACTTAAACAGCTCTATGAACAATACCATATGGAATTTTGTTATTATTTCAAGTATACATTGAAAACCAAAAAACCCCAGTACTAGTTAATGGTTCCACTGGCCATATGTGGTAAAAAGCCTTATTTCTTCAGACTTTCTACAAAATTTAATGACACAACCCAAGAAATACAGTATTATTTACTTTTGAGCAAACACATCTCCCATTAAAACAAACAAACAAAAAAATACAAGCAGGGAGAGACAAAATAAGGAGTTTTCCCCTCAGTTTTATGCTGTCTAAACTGAGTATAAGCAGCAATCACAGTTTCATGAAAATAATTAATTTTAATTAATCACATTCTGATATAATACTGACACTATGCTGTTGCCATTCTCTCAGATGAACATTATTAGTCAAGATACGTGTTTTCTTTTAAAAATCTACCACTGGACCACAGGATCAGTATATTTAATTATGAGGACTTTTGGAAGAAAACATAGCATTTAATGAAATCTTCTGCAAGTATACTTCTGACAAAGCATAAAATTTTAGGCTTTTTCTACTAAGTGGAAACTGTACAACTGTGCTTCCTATCTCAGAAATTAATTCACCTAACATGGGGGAAGGCAAAGACAGTATCATATTTACTGAAAAAAATGACATTACACTGTGGGAAGTCATAAATTATCTTTATTAGATAGTATTTTCTTCAAATAACATCTTGGCAGTGTTGCAACTTACTTCAGCAAAGCTACAGCACTGCTTCCACAGTTATCTCTTGATTAACCCATATTTACCCTTCACAACGTTATGGTGTGAAAAGCTCCCCACACAGATAGAGGATATTCACACTATTTTGACGCTACTAAAAGCAGTAGCACCACCTGTCCAAAGGGGACGTATTTATTCATTTAATAAAAGTGTCACTTTTAATAATACTCTGGCTTTTCTGGGATCTGTTTTTGGTTTTTTTTTTACTCTATGTGTATTTTCAGTTCATCTCTCTTCCTCTGTGGAAAGTCTTTTCCTAAGAAGTTCTTTATCAAGGTAAAACCCATTGCCTTCGTTTCAAATTTTTTATTAATTTTCTTATTTTCGTTATCTGCCCTTAAATGGTTTATGGTCCATCAAAGACTTTTCTTTAGAAAAACAGATCAACCTACAGTCTTCATCATCTGTGGTGGTGGGTTTTAGCACAGCCACGGAATCCACATTTTACAGATGACCTGAATTTTGGACAGCTGGTGTTAAGATAACAGAATTGTTGTGTTAATTGACTGAGAAGCTTTTTTCCTTGGTTGTTTTTGTTGTTGTTATTGTTTTAATTATATATGGCACAGTCATAGTTCATTATAATGCAAAGTATCAGTTAGATCCAGTACATCAGAAATATCTCTAATAAATGGAAAACTAGACATGCAAGCAAAGTCAAGGAGTCAGATTTCTCCCCGAGAGGATGAGAACATTTTCTAGATAAAAGGTCACCTAATGTGTACTCCAAAGCAATTCCTTCAGTGACAAATGAGCAAGGTCTCCTGAATGGCAGCTTCACCCTTTTTTCACTGGATATCAATCTGGGACAGTGTGGAAACAAGTTTGAGGGTTTGCAGCTAAACTGACAAAATTCAGGAGGAAGGCTTTGATGCTCTTATTAGTGGGCACTTCAAAGTATCCATTGAAGAGGGCTAGATGCTAGTTATCTTTAAAGATGCTCCTTATTAGACCATTTCCCAAACTTCAGCATTGGGATGAATTCAAAGGCTTCAGCACATGGACTGCAGGAATGAACAGCCCTTGCTTTTAAAGAACATTGAATAGCAAGAGAAAGGAACTGTTAGTTTTACCTTTAGACTGTTACTGCTTCAATTTATTGACATCTGTTTTTTCCAGACCTTTAGGGAGAGGAGAAATCTGAAGGATGGAATGGCTCAAAGAGGACTCCTGACATGGTATGTACATATACCGAGGTACAACCTTGCATTTGGATTTTATATTTTTTTAACCTACTTTTAAAACTGGTATAAACACACACAGTTCCACTGCATTTCAGTAGCATTTTACTTTATTACATCAACAGTTTGTATCTCAGTGTTTGAAAAAGCATTAGCATATGAATTTACCTATAAATATGAATAAATAGGTGCAGATGTGAGCACACAGCAAACAAACATTTGCCTTTCATAAGGCACTTCATTGTTATACAGAAGCCTACTCAATTATTCACAAAGTGTGAGATGCTCTTTTATCCCTGGCCTACTTTAGGATGCCATTGGCTGTAATCAAAACTTCTGAAAGACTTCCAAAGTCCTCAGATAATTGGGGTAGTCATTGTAAAAGAAATCACCACCAGCCCTTTTAACAACAGAGAGAATGAGAACCACTCACAGTGTTGTCTTCCTAATATTTAGTATTTCCTGTGAGATTTAGGTGCCTGTTTTTCACATATGTATAGTTGAAGAAATGCCAAATGTTTGATCATTTAATCAGTTTTACAGGATTCTTGGGTGAGCACTAACTGCTCAGCAAATACGATTTAAAAATTTTGTATCATCGAGGACAAAAACCACAAAGTCTCACCCCATGCCATTGCTTTTTTCCTGGAGAAATTCAGAAAGATAGCATTAAGTACATGCTTTGTTTAGGTTTCCTTTTATTAAGGTATCAATTAGAAGGACCAAAACTTGTTCAGTACAAACCTGAGAAGAATTCTATTGAAATGACCTGTTAAGTCCATGGCATAGCAGAACTGCTTTAAACAACACCTTTCCTCTCTGTTTTATGAGATGGGCAAAGCAGAAAAAAATATTCCTCTAGATCCCACTAGCTGTGCAACTATATATCAGTAGACGATGGCAGTAACTCAGCACACTTGTGGTCTGGTGAGAACAGCTGCCCTTGCAATACCATATGGGAATGATTTTCATTACAAAGTACAAGCTTGCAGGGGAGAGTAGCCTCTGTTCCTAAGGATGGATCCTGAGTAGCCTCATCTCATTAGGGAGAGAAAAAGATTCCAGACCTGGAACAATAGAAATTTATCACCCCCAAATGATTTCTGAAATCTTTCCAGTAAGAAATTCGACTTCTAGTGCTGCTCTATTTCTATCAGTCTTTAGAGATCCCTTTTTAATATTTTACTAGAACACTGGAATAGCTCAATTCATGATGAAAATCTCTGTATAATCTTCTTTTCTTACATTTTCTTCTGCTCAATTCACCTCCCAGCTCACCTTTCCAGAATGTTCATATTTTTTAATATTCTTGACTAATATATGCAAAAGTTTGGCCTCTGGACGGATCACTATTCTTCATGCTCAAATCATATAGTTATGTTTTATTGTTGCCATGGTTGTTCATAATAAAGCCATTAAAAGACATATTACGGGAAACCCATTGGCTAAATGAGTTTTTTGGAAAGAAGAAAAAATTTTCCTTTTTCTAAAATCATTTAGAATAGTTATTTTACAGTGGGAATCTTACATATTATTTTCCATTTTCCAGAGATTTCTAAAGTGTTTTCATAGTCATTTACAATAGACACTTTTGAGATTAACATTTCTTTTTTCCACAGCTGTAGCTAATAAAGCTTTGCCAGTCATCGCTAATATTTAGAGAAGCAATTTTTATTGACAATACACATTATTCCAGAAATTCTACCTCACATTCAAAAAAAAGAAACAAAAGGAATCTCATCCATCTTTTTCTTTTTTTTTTTTTCTTTTATAACGACAAAAAAAAAAGTTACAACACTATAAGCTTTTTTTTCAAACCATTTAAGATGCTCTGAAATCTCCCTGGCCCTATCCAAAAGATAGTAGAAATGGCAATCACTTTCTTGGGTATATTGGAAAAACATCTAATTTTCTGCCACTACCTGTAGAAACATTTGTCTCCTGACAGATGCAGCAGTGAGTCAGCTCCTAGTTACTAACAGAAACCATGACTGACCAGGATGGGCACCGAAGCATGGCTCATGGGGCTTTTTGCTAGCATAACCCATCAAATGGCTCTCCAAGGAAGACATCTACATAATAATACTCAGTCCTGCATTTACATATTGCTATCTGCAGGAAAGGCTAGTTGATTTCTTCTCCCTGACTTTCCATGTGCAGTGCTCTCCTGTTAGACAAGACATCTGG